TTCAGAACGATGAAAAAGTTTTAAAACACCACTTGATTTCATAGCCGATGATGATCCAATATGACTAATTTTACACTTTTGAAAATGTGATGACTGGAACTTTTCATATTCAACTGGATGTGTGTATTTTTTTAACTTCCATATTGAACATAATTTACATGTTTTTGTTTCTATTTGAAAGTCAATACATTTACCACTTTCAACTGAAATTGCAGAAACAACTCCGTTATTTGAAGTAAAACCACGCTTTTGCCATGAACCATCAAAGCTACACATAATGTCTCTTGATGTTTCACCTGCAGGGATTAATTCATCAGCAGCATTTTTCATGTTCTGGTCAACTAAATTTTGATAAACATCTAACAGGTTATGTAAAGTTTTATTGTAGCTTTTTTTGTTCATAGGTGGCTTTATATTCATTATTCCACAAAATTTTTCTAATGACGATAACCCTTTACCCATTTCACAAAAAGCCACAATGACACGTGTGTTAATATCAAATGGTTTTTGCCCACTACATTTGCTTTTACTAGGCTCTTTTTGTTCAAGAAAATTTTTTTAACAAAATGTAGCAGATGAAAAAAACTCAGTTTTCCAATTGCAACTGTTACAACATATTTTTAATCCAATACTCAAACCATACTTTTTTGACGAATCAAACATTAAAAAAACATTATCTTCGCACAAATTTGGGCATTTAAGTAACGATATAACGTTTTCCAACAGACTAAAGTTCATAACAAAGTTAAAATCTGTACTTTGAAAATCTTGAAAATCTCTATCAGCAATATTTAATTTTTTTGAAGAAGCAGAATGTGTAGCAGATTCAACAAAGATAAAGTTTTCGTTTCTGAAGAAGGGATCTTTGTATATCTGTTTCCACGAAATTTTGCTTTTTTATTATTGTATATTCTGCTTGATAATTGTTTTCTCTTTGATCCACCCATATTATTTTTATTGTATTTTTATTGTAAAAAGATAAAAGATATACTACAGCATAAATAATAAAGTTTGAATGCAGCTTGAAACAAGAAGCGAATTACGTCAATAAAGCCATCATACTGAACTAATTAACAAGAAGTCGTTGCAGTCTACAACTTTACACTTAAAATTGTTGGCTAAGTAAGTATTTTATGGCTTTTTTATGGTTTTAACTTGTTTCTGAAGCGCATAACAACGGAATAAACAAAGCGTTGCTAGGGGGAAAATAAAAATTATTTTAAACCGATACATTATAAACAGGTTTTAACATGTGAAGCTTTTTTTATTTAGTTAAATCAACTAAAAATTCGAAATCTGCGATGATTATATTGGTTAAATCATAGTAAAAAAAAAATTTTTTATTTTATTTTATTGGTGTACTACCACCTTAATACAAATAGTAATATACAATGAAAAACATAAAAACTATACAATTTATTTATATAAAATTTACAATTTATAGATAAAAATATAAACATCTTTTTTAAGATTTATGTGTGTAAGTGAATTTAGAGGATTTACGTATGTGAGTAAAATTTATGTGTGTAAGTGGATTTACAGGATATCGTATCGATAAGCCAGGATATCATTGAGATACAGAATCTAAATCAAAAAATAAAACTTGTATCATTATCAATCTGAAAGCAAATGTTTAAAAAATGTTATTGAATTAGTATGATTATTATTAAATTTAAAAAGTAAAAAAAAAATACTACACTATATAAATACTAAAGTTTATACAACAATGAAAGGATATTGTATCTAAATAAATAGCAAACAAATATGCTTATATCCATAATATGTGTGCAAAAAGTGCATCTTGGAAGCTTATATTGCTTCTGGAATAAAAGTTTGGAAGCTTTTATTACTTCTCTTAAGTTTTAAATCAAGCTTCATTCTACTCTACATCTTTCAACATTAACTACGTTTTTCAGCTTTTTTATAAGAACATCTCTCTTAAAAAAAAATTGTCCTAATGTATAAATAAAGTCTTGTCTGATGTAAATCTCTGTTATTCTCAGTTTACTAAACCTTGTATCTTATCTTAGATGTCGATTCTAGAGACTTTTAGTTAGTTTCCAACAGTGTTATTAACTAAAGTGTCTTATGGATTTAAATTCTGGACTTAAAATCCACAATTGTTGTTAGACAACAAAATTCATTTATTTACTACAAAAAATATTGCAATATTGTTGGTATTCCTCTATTGACAAATAAAAACCCTATAATTATTATAACATATTATATAATAATAATAACAATAATATATATACATATATATATATATATATATATATATATATATATATATATATATATATATATATATATATATATATATATATATAGTAAATTTACGGTTATTCGAACTGGCGCTTATTTAAATTTTCTATATATATATATATATATATATATATATATATATATATATATATATATATATATATATATATATATATATATATATATATATATATATATACATATATATATATACATATAAATGTATATATATATATATATATATATATATATATATATATATATATATATATATATATATATATATATATATATATATATATATATATATATGTATATATGTATATATATATAAATTTAGCAACTAAAAATAGTCATGTATCCATACATTAATTAACTAAATAAAACTTACTTCAATAGGTGTAACTATAAATCATCAATTTAAATCATATTATGTACTTCGTTCATAAGATGCAAACCAGTTAAAACCAAATCATTCC